TAATTCTAAGCTAACTTGTAAAATAAAAGAAATTAAGAAATTTTATAATCGCGAATTTTATCTATTGCGCTATTCAAGCTATTCATGTGGATAACCTTTTTCAAACATAGAAGTGTGCCTAAAGAATTTTCAAATTCAACTGATACGAACTTAATTCAGCTGTTAATCTGAAAAAGACTTTGTAGAATCGAAAGGCAGTTTACGTTACAATTTAATATTTTGTTTATTTTGGTAGTTGCAGTGATCAATTCTTTAATTTTACAAACATAGAATCGAAGAACAAGAGCGTAAAAATTGCAAAATTTACTTTTATTAGTTCACGCAGCGCAGTCAAATAGGTTTTCGACTTGTAAAAAAAAAAAAACCGATAAAATAAGTAATCAACAATGTACCTTTCTTGATATGAAATGCGTAAGTTTTTCACTGAGTATCTTGTTAGGCCCTAGGAGCAAAACTAAAATAGTTATTGGAATTTCAAAAATTTTCCGAGTATCTAAAGGGGGCCAATTCGATTTTTGACTAGCTTATCGAAAACGTCCAAGGACTATTACTGAACATAGGAAGTGACATATCAGATGTATTAGAAAAATATATCTATAATGCTAAGTATGCTAAAATAGTTTAGAAAAACTTAAAATTCTAAAGACATTAAGAAAAAATGTAATTTCAGACAAATTCAATGAATGAAAGGAATCCATTTGAATTGGAGGGAGAACAAAGCCTAAGTAAAGAACCTGTTCTTCTTAGCTTCATATAAAGACATTTACAAGAGAACAATCGAATGTGGTAATGATGGCGAAGAAATCTTAGAGGAAAAAATTTGGCTTTAGTTGTTACTGGTTAATAATGATCGTGAAGAGGAAGTGAGAATCGAAAATCGTTTTTCCTTTTGAGTGTAGCCACGCTGCGATGTCCGTGGTCCCCCCTTTTCACCAACTACGCGTTAGAGTGCTCCGATCCCTCTATCCGTAAATACGAATTCCTTGCACGGAACCTTGAAAGACCTGAAGCTGATGCAAACTTTCATCCTTAACTATGTCGATATAATGAAAATCAATCTGAAACGAGACCAACTGGGTCCATGTAAGTTAATCTTTCTCCGTACTGCAAGGCCAGAAGGGGCCCGAACAGACTTGACTTTGCCCTTTTGTCCAGGAAGACCTATGCTTTTTCCTTGTAAAAAAGGAAAGGAAAGCTAAAGTTTCTTCGTAGTTTGCATTAATGCAAATTAAGTTCGGTCAGAACTGTGTCCGCAGCAAATGATCGAAATTTTCTTTGAGACTATCGCGTGATCTTCGCTTACACAAAGAAAATGCATTACTATTTATTTATATGACGATGTGTTTTTGTTAGCTGCCTGCATGTGCGAAAAGGCGGAAGTAACGAGGGGTGGTCAACTGCACTCATATCAATGATTTGTGATTTACTGTATATGGCATTACTTAACAGTGATATGTGAGCGAACGAATGTGTATCTTACATGAAATGAAAATAAAACACTTATATAGCAGGATATATATATATGTATATGAAATCAGTCAAAACAGTATCTCCGTTGTTGAAGAAATTACTTACAGGATAGCAACCCTTTTCAGTGTTTTTTTTTTTTTTTTTGGTATTTTTTGTTTTGTTTGGAATCGTTTTAAGTAAATCAAACGTCAAACGTTTAAGTTTTGAACGCGTAATATATGAAATAAAAGAAAATATATTAAGAAAAAAAAAAAAAAGAAGAAAAATAATCAAAAGAAGAAAAAAAATGATTAGAAAATATATGTATAAGAAAATGTATAAGAAAATGAACTTAAAATCCAAAGGTGCAGTTAACTTAAAGAAACAATAGATATATATGTAAGTAAGCATGCATTATATGCAAAAGATTTGGTTGAAGTCTTTCAAAATTCAAAAGTGTAAAAAGTCAACGCCAACCAGCAAAAATGTATACACAGGTCGCGTAAGGGTTAAGTGGATTCGTTAAGGATTTTAGGAATGGTTATACAAAAATTAATAATAATTTTAGAGTAAAGAAGGAAAAATACAAATTTCATGTATATAAAGATATGAAAATAGGCCATCAATACAAACGATGTTCAAAAAGTAGTTCATCGTTATGGTAAACTTGAATGCTTTTGTTACTATTTTTTATTTTTTAATTTTTTTTTTTATTTTTTTTAACAAGTTTCGACTCTTCTCTTAAACCAATGAAAATGTCACACAAAAGTTATGTTAGTGTTGGTTTAAATGCGTTTAGTTGACTAATACTGTTTGGTTATGGGTGAAGTGTGCTTTTTTTCTCTTCTTCTTCTTCTTTTTTCCCTTTAATTAGAAAAGGAGACTCTTAAATACTTTTAAATAGTATACCTCGACATTGGTATAAAGTCGGGAAAACATTAAAAACGTCACTAAACAATTTTATTATTCAATTCAACGTTCACTTTGCTAATTGAGAGCCAATTAATTGAATTCACTCTAAAACTCTTTCTAGACTAAGCAAAATAAATGAGAGAGAAAAAAATAATAATAGTAATAATACTAGTTATAATAATAATAATAGTATTCATTATATATAACAAAATTTTGACTTGAAAATTTTTATTCTGTTTGTCTTTTTGTGACCAAAAATATATTAACTTTGCTTAAGCATTTTTTTGGTTTATCGCTTATATGTCAATGAATTTTCAAAAATTTGCACTGCTTTACTAAATCCTTTTCAGACTGCTTTTAATTATTTAATATAAAAAGAAGCACCTTTTTTTTTTTCTTTTCTTTAATTATTTTTAAACCATATTAAAAACAGCTTTTATTTAAGTACTAACTAAAGCCACTAAAAAGTAAAAATGAAAAGTTGGTGCAGTTAAACGAAACGATAAAACGATAAAAGAAAATTTTCGAATTTTTTTTTTTTTTTTTAGTAACAAAATAAACACTTATATAAAAATTAATATAATAAACGACATTATCCCTAAAATATTCTTCTTCTTCATTAGAAAAACGAGAAATTTTTTTTTTAATATTTAGTAAATCGAACAGAAATATTTTTGTTAGTTCAATAGGAAAGTTAACTTTTGAGCAGATTCAATATAGGAAAAGAATTGAAGAATGACAGGATTTTAAAATATAATGATAATTATAAGCAGTTTACAGTCAACTCCTTTGCCAGGAAGGACTTGACAGAACTAAATTAATTTTGTTTTTTTTTTGAGTTAGTTAATGGTTTAGAGAGTATTAGCGGTTGGATTTTCAGTCCTCGTTATACTAGAGACACACAGAACACGTACGGTATTTGTTGGATATGTGGTATGAATACCAACAAAGGCGCACATCAATCGTGATGTGATATGCGAGCCAAGGTTTAATTGCCAAAGGCAATTAAGTGGAAGTGGATGAGAAAAGATCTAATTGGAGCTGTCTGCTATTGAGAATGGATAGTCAAAGACATAGATTGTTGTGTTTTGCATTCGCGTTAGATTGCAATTCTACCATGTAAAGGTCCCATAACTACCACTGGTATTAATAACGATGAGGGAAAGACATTTGACATGTATACTGCGAACTTTCGACGGTACAAGTACCAGTTATCGAGAGTTGCTTGGTATACACTTAACAGAGTGATGGGCAAAGACTTTTACATATGTCATATTATTAATCAATGTTAGAGACGAAAGTTTGAGGTTAGCACACTAAATACCCTGAGATAATAGTCACACATTCACTTCACCCAATAAGTTCGTAGCATGACTTATTGATGTAACATCTTAACTGATGGATCCATATAATTCTTAAACAATATCAACTTTGTTTGCCAACGTTATTAAGTTTCCAAGTGCGAGTTCACACTGGACCTCGCTTACTCAACTCAGCAAATCAGCTGCTGGTGATTTGCTAACTCTCAGAAAAAGAATCAGATACCAACCTTCGGACGGAAATTCTTGTTTTTCTACGAAAACAAGAGCAGCGCCAGAATAGTAGAATATTTAAAGGCACACTAATGGTATTTCTACTACCAATTATTTCATAATTAATGTCAGATGAAAAGATTTGGCTTTCGCAAGTTAGAAGGTCTAAGATTGCTTGAAGCATTTCGACAATTAGCGCGCGAAGTTGAAGGCCACTCTTTGTCATTGGCAGTATTAGGAAGACGCTTACCGTAAACACAATCGCCGTTCTTCTACCATTAAAGACTATAAAAACTAGATATTATCAATTGTTTCTAATATTAGCTGAGACATATGCTGGAAATTGTCATCTATATGACACACATTATCTGAAAAAATCTACATTAACTAAATATACGATATATGAAGCCTAGAATGATGGCGGTATTTTTGGAGCTGTTGTAAAAGCGCTACAAATATACCTCAGAGATCTTCCGAATATTCTAGCGTAATAGGCCCTGTCCATCGGCTATCGTCGCTGTGGTCAATGTCGCAAATACTGGAAAATTATGCATAAGGTCTTTGTCGTTATTAGTCGCTATGTAGGCTTACAATACATTACATATTTACGGAACGCCTCTAAGAAAAATGAACCATGGATTTTAGTAAAAAGAAGTATGTTCTTGAACTTATCGAATTTGAAATATTCCGATGCAAATACCGTAATGCAAGCGGCAGCTAAGTGTCTTTAGTATAAAAGAACCAAGAATAGAGAAAGTTTTAAAAACAGAGAAACGAAAATAAAATCATAGTAAAAATTTTCAGGTAAGGTTCGTTTTTTTGATACACGAAGGTAGATTGTAAGTATGTATTAAACAAAATGAATAAAAAAAAGAAGAAAAAAATCAGAAAAAAACAATTTTGTTAAGCGAAGACTTACGTCAAGCGGTTTTTTCAAAACAATCCAACCGGACTCGGCTTGTATATCGAAATATTCCAAATCATTAGGATTAAATGGTGCACTAAGACTGTAAACAATGGCACCATTATTGTCGGCATCTTCATCGGACGCTGAAACACGTAATATATTTGTACCGATACTAGCATCCTGCTTCACATTTTCCACATATTTCTACAGCAGCGAAAAGGAAAGCAGTAGAATATTAGATCTGTTTTAACCAAACATCTCAATATCTAACCTGACGATCAAACAGTGGAGGGTTGTCGTTGACATCGGTTATTTCAACCGTAAACGAACACACGCCCTCTAAACTGGGTTCACCTTGATCAGTAGCTTTTACCGTAACTGATACGAATTTGCCGTCATCTCCTTCACGATCGAATACTTTATTGGTCGAAACCTCACCGGTTTCTTCGTCCACAGTAAATTTTGTACCTTTTTGGTTCGGTTGTTGAACAATCGAATATTTAACCTAAACAAAGGATAAGAAAATATATGAATGTACGTCACACTTAAGATAAACTATTACATAAATGTTATAACGTTTCTCAAACTTACTTGGCCATTAACGCCTTTATCCTCATCGGTGGCGACAACTTTTATAACTGGACTACCGTTAGGAGCACCTTCTTCCACTTTTGGATAATAAGTGCCGCAGTCTTTGAATACCGGCTTATTATCGTTAACGTCAGTTATGAAAACAACAACAACAGCAGTGGATGTATGTATTGTTTGGTCACCGTTAACGCAACACGACCCATCATCCATGGCCGTAACATTCAGTTCATATTTATCGCGATCTAATGAAATCGCTTTATTATGCAAACGTATTACACCTGTAATGTCTTCGATGACAAACTGACCGGATGACGTGCCGCCACCCACAAAACCAAAACGCACATTATCGCCATCTTTGTCTGAAGCCACGACGGTCGTTACTAAAGTGTTTGGACCAGCATTTTCGTCGACGTTAGGTGTGTACACTTGTTGTGAAAATTTCGGTTCTTCGTCGTTTTTGTTTTTTGTGTAAACGCGTACCGTCGCTGTGCCCGACTTGGAAGGTTCTCCTTTATCTTTGGCCGTAACAATAAATTCATAATAAGCATTATTGTTATCAGCATCCAACTGCTTATTGTTAACGATAATGCCATTCGAATCGACAGCGAAATGATCATCAGACACAAGATATTCAATTTCTGCATTTGCGCCTGAATCAGAATCCATAGCCTTTACTCTCAGTATACTTGTACCTAAAGGTATATCTTCATCTACATTATGCGCCTGATAGTCGGGTAATTCAAACTTGGGCGCATTATCATTGACATCTGTAACACGTATGGTAAGCTAAAAACAGAACAGAGAATATGCACTTAATCGTTTCTGTCGATAAGAATTTTTCCAATATTATTGCCGTCAATTTCATTGTGTGCAAAATCTTTGAGAGAGAGGGAGAGAGAGAGAGAACAAAAAACTTTTCCTTCATTAATTCTAATAAAAATGTCAATTTTATTACTGTTTTATGTCTTTTCTAGGTTTTCGTTCTTTCTTACTTGAAGCACTTGACTTAAGTTCAAGCGAAACGATGCTTTTAAGTGCAATCACTCGCAAAAACTTTTTGCATAGAAACAAATCTCTAGTGGTATTAAATTAAAGCAACAACGAGTTACACAAATGGCTTGAACTTTTCGAAACAAAATACAATGAAATAAACGTAACGCGCCACAATATAAAATAATGACGGAATTCGTGTTTCAACTGTTGGTTTAAACGCACAAAAGAAGAAATTGTTTTCTTACCTCAACCGAGGTAGAGAAGCCGCCGGAATCCTCTGTGGCTGTTACAATTAAGGAGTAAACGTGCGGTTGCCGTAAATCCTCAAAATCTAATTCTTTGGCCAACTTAACAATACCCGACGAGGGACCTATGTTAAAGGTACCCGCTCCTTGGCCTTGAGCCTTCAATGTGTAGCGAATTTCACGGTCTGCAAATGATTTGGCTTTCACCGAAATAATGCTGAAAGCAAAGTGAGAAAGAAAAAATAAATAAAGTATGGTGTGCGTTTAGGCAAGAAAATAAATAAATAAATACATAAAATATATTCATGCGGGAGCGAAGAAACTTTTCCATAGCAAAAGAAGTAAAAGAGAATAATATTTCGTTGGTCTTTATTCACTTACTCCGAGTCCTTTTTCTGATTTTCTGGTATCTCGGCTTCATAGCTCGGCATATAAAATTGTGGTGCTCGTTTGCCGCCCACTATGCTTAAGCGTTCTTCGGGTGTACTTTGAAAACGGCGATCGTCTACCTTACCATTTTGATCTTCAGCTTTAACATATAATACATATTCCATATCCAATTGAAAAAGATCTGTGCCGCGAGTACGCACCACCCCTGAACGTTCGTCAACTTCGAAACGCCCACCGGTACGATCGCGTACAATGAAATAGTGAATATTATGGTCCGTGTCTGGATCACGGGCTTGTAAAGTAAATACTGGCGTATTAGGTGGGGCATTGAGTTGAACCACCGCCTGCATGGGTAATGGACGATTAATAAAATAGGGCGGCTCATCGTTAACGTCCTTGACGTGAATGATGACGCGCTGGTTGTCGGTGTATTTAAGTCCAGCTGCAAAGAAAGATAAACACCATAAGTTGTTGAGTGGTGTTTTTTTTTTTTTTTCTTTTTGCTTCTTATTTGAAACATTAAACAACGTAATATCAATTGCATTTTCTTACGTTGATTAAATTTTCTTCTTTTTAAATTCCTGTAAAGGATACGTTTCTTTTTAAATAGTATTTTAAAATTTCTCATTTGCCAGCTAAAAGCAATTTCAGTTTCAATTAGTGTTATTTCTTTAATTACTTTTAACTCCCCAGTATATTTTTTAATTTTCTTTTTCGCACATAAATGTAGTTAGACAGAAAGATATTTATATATATATATATATATATATATATGTATATTTATATGTGTATATGTTTATGCGCAGACACTCAACTATACTATTTCACTTAAGTCATTAAAAAGCAATGAATTAGAAAAATAGTAAATCAACTCGGTACACCATACTTTATGTGTTTGTAAGTATGTTTTGATATGTGTTCGTGTGAGTTTATGCCGAAGCGAACGATAATCCACCGTTCATTCAATGAAAGATGTATTAAGAAATAAACTCCATTTACCCATACTGCGGTATAAATATTTTTGTTTTTTCTTTTCTTTTTTTTTTTGTTGTTTTTAAAAGAGAAATATACAAATACTTAGTAAATTACTCGGGGAGGCAAAATAAATACACGCAAGGGTGATAAAAGCAACAAGGAAAGCAGCTTATAATGTGTTGTTTTGCTTTTCAAATATAATACATATATATATATATATATATATAAGAAGAGAAAAAAAAAAGACTTGTTTTCATCTTTTGCTGAAAAGCATACAACAATGACTGCGTATGTACAACATCACAGTATAAGAAACAAACAAACAAACAAACAGCACAAAAATCGCTTCGACACGACACATCGCAATCAATATAAGCTTAGTGCAAGAAAACACATATACATACGTGCACACACCCACATCCATGCATAAAAAGATCGTATGCATACATAAAACGTTACCGAGAACTTAATTCTTTGACAAATAATGGTTATGTTTGTTTACGTGTACGTGCATGTATTCAGCAAGCTCGTTAATTGCAAGGAGTAAAGAAATTGCGGAAGGGGAGGGGTTCAAGAACAAACAGTAGGTGCGCTTGGTATGGGTATGGGTTAGCGAAAGAAGAAACTAAGTAAATGCTTTAAAAGTTTAACAATCGCCATCGAAGAGTTCAAATAACACATGACGGTGCGGTGGACAATTAATTTTTCGAGATTATTTGCATTTCAATTGATAAAGTCTTGCGAAAAACCACAACAATGGCGTAGCGTAATCAACCGAACTATGAAAGTGCAAATGCCAGCTATTTGTCAATTAAAGTTGTTTAAGGTTTCCATTTTTAACCGATAATTGCATAATAAAGCGGAAATTTAAAGGATGTCAAAAACCGTAAAAGCGTAATTACTCGTCATTTACAAAAAGAAAAAAAAAAAAAAAAATTATTTAGTTTTTATTGCAATAACATAAAAGGGAATTGAAACGCATAAATAGGAAGTCATTGCAAATCTTACTGATCAGCGTTCTACTCGTCCCTCCACAAAAAAAATGAAAATGTAAAGACAACTTTTAGACCCAACACCGCTTGTGGTGCAAGGCTTTGAGTTAGGCCCACCTTTTATTAAGCTTGTACGTCCGTCTGCACGTTTATCCGTCTCGTATTCTTTTGTTCAAATTAGAAGTCACAATTTTGAAATAGTTTAATAAAATTGTATGGGCCGACGTGTTTGGGCTAAGGACTAACAGCTTTGAGAACGGTTCGGATCGAACTAAATTTTCGTCTTCGTCCAAAAGACGTTATATGGGTTAGTATTCGTTGTTCAGAGTTGCATTTGTAGCAAATTAAAAATAATAACTAAACAGATATCAAAATACATTTCGAACAAAATTGTTTACTCACAAACAGCTGAACGAAAACAAAAAATTAAAAATTTGTGAAAAGTGAGCAAATTAATTCAATTTATTTTTTTTGTTTTTCTAATCCTACTCCCATTGTCTACTTCATGTCGTTAATTCGCCAAAGTTTGTAGTCAATTCTGTATTATCAACCTTTACATATGTTGTCATATATTGTCGCTAGCATTGATGGAGAGAGATAGACAGATAGATAGATAGATAGGTAGAGATAGATAGGTAGAGATAGGTAGGTATATATATAGAGAGAGAGAGAGGGAGACAGAGAGCAAGGATCAGCAAATATTAAAAAGTCATCACTCTACTGGATATATTGGTGTTATCGCCAGCAGACTAATCACTTCTAAGTACATATTGTAAAATATTGCTATTAAATATATATACATTAGGTGGAGTGGCCCTGCGGAACCCTTCAAATCCTCTTACATTTTTCAACGATGGAAATTAAAACGTACATATTGTTACGTGCAAAGGTTTCGCGTGTCAAAAGAAGTTTTTGAATACATTTTAGGAAAAATTGATGCGACTAACTTGTTCTTGTGATGCGTTGTTGTACAATAGATGATGTTTGAAATATTCCTAATACTTATTGAAGTGATTGAATGTGTAGACGGAAGCCACGTTCATTTTCGTTAACCCGTACAAAGTGAAGAATGTTTTATAAATCGAAAAGCCAGGTATGAGCTGACTGCAATGGCGGCGAATTAATCTGTACATATATATGCTTTTGCCTATACACATATAAATAATATTTTCGTAAAGATTGCGACTACTTGAAAGTGATGACAACAAACTTTTGATATCCTCGTCCAAACGACGGTGTCGACGTTTCATTAAAGCACTCCCAGTTAAGGCGAATAAGCGAGGATATAAGGACCGGCATATCTTCTTCACTTTCAGTATAAATGTGAAAGAGCAGATTGAAAAAAGAATGTGGGAATTAAAAATACAAAACCAGGAATGATTTGCAATTCAGTGGTCTGTGAGCAACCGAAGTCGTCCCTCGTTTTGGACTCACAGGGTGGAGAGGCGCTAGAGTAAGTCAGGCAGAATAAGAATGAGAGAGGAGAAAGTAGGCAAGGAAAGAATTAAGGCAAGTGTGTGAGTACTAGGCCAACCGAAAGAAAGTGAATGGGGAGACGAGTAAAGGCAGCGAAGCGCGACAGACCGATCGAGCGAACAGGAAAACGCTTAGTGCGAGGTGTGAGAGGGAAGCGAGTTACAAGAGCTACTGACTAAAACATGAACAGGAAATTGTGAAATCAATAAAACTAATTTTACTAGAACTACCGAGATATAATTTTTCCCCGAAGTAAAAATCTTTAATAAGAATTTAGAATACTATTATAAAAGAAATACGAGAGTCGCATACAAATTGAAATCGAAAAAACAAACTTTATTAGAAGTACCGGAATATATTGTTTTAAGACATAATTCTTTAAGGAAATACAAAAAGTGAGAAAACAAAGCAATGAAATCTGTTTAAAGCAGTTTGTTTTATCAAAGGCAACGAAAACTGCAGGGATTTGGCTTTGCTGCAGCGATGATGAACGGTAGGACAGGCACATAAGGAAAACCAAGGTAAACGAAGAAATTTCTTGTGACAAAACACCTGTAGCGAAAGATTTTGGGCGAAAATAGCTCTCAAAGTTCTTACAGGTAAATGCCTATGTTAATTTATAAATAAAAAGAAAATAAATGCAGTAAAGACACATGTATTAAAATTTAAAGTTCTCCCAAGAAGTGAAAATATGAAATTATATGAATGTAACAAATTATTTCACTTCACTTTGTTTTATCAACAATTTTGCATAATTTTGTTTTCATTCATGTTCATTTGATTTTGTTATTGATTGCATCATTCACACACACGAAAACCAAGTATGCTGCTGACGTCATCCATCCAGAGCTAGTTATCTTGTCCGCAAGAGCAAGCGAGTAGGTAAAAATCGTGACTAATGTCAGTATGGCTGGGTTTAAATCTCAGTGCGACAGAGTTTACGGTGGTCTTAGCTACAGGCGGTGTTCAGTCGGTAAAGGTTGGGCACACAGCCCCGCCAGGCTGCGGCCACTTCCCTATAACGCTCCGTTTCTTCACGTCTTCCTCGTTCTGGCCACTTAACCTTCTCTTTAATTTATTAAGAAAAGGTGAACTTCTGATGAAGAAATGAAGGTATCGCCCACAAATTTGCAAAAGAAATTGGAATTGACCTAAACTTTTCAAAGGACGCGGCTATCACACGCCTAAGGGCGGGAACATTTTGTTTTTCTTCTTCTATTGTCTGTTCTAGGATAACGAGGAAGGGTATAAAAAATTCTGTCCCGACTGAATTTAATTTTCTTACCTAAAGAAAGCACATGATTTGCGAAAGTGAAGCCAAGTTAAAAATACCAACTCTATGCTTATTCTACGTGAACTCTATACCGTCTTTGTCGAATTGTTCCCACAAATTGCAGCAAAAGCATTGCTAATAGTGTTTCCGTAGCGTTCGGCATTGCTAACAACTCCATTGCTCCATAATTTTTTGTTTTTGAAAGAATGAAAGGGCCGGCCAACCAGCTAAACACCACACACCACACACCAGAGTGTTTATATTTATGATCGTACATAAAGATAGAAGAGAAGAATTTGTGGAGTGTTGCTTGTTACAACCGAATCACTTTACTTGTTTACGAAATCTTTCAACCTAAAAATTATTCATCTTTAACCCAGCTTGAAAGTTAGAGTAACATTTCACTCGAATTTTCTATTATTAAGTAGTACATCATATTTGCTTATTCTACTAATCGTTATTAGATATCAAGTCCGAATGGTATGAAGGTCTGAACACCTTTGAGCATTGATTTTGAAATGCATATGTTCGTCATCTTACATTGATATAGTGGTAATTTTGGTCTTACTTTGTCCCCACAATACTTCATTTTTAACAATTAAATGTGCACTTGGATTTATAGGTTTACAAAGATATTCAAACCGACGCAAACCGACGTTTTGCTATCAAATTTATATAGAAAACAGGGCTTCCGTTATCAGACTTATTATTACACTTAAATAAAAT